ACAACAACAACCGTTGGCACCTATCAACACAGCAAGTTAATGAGAATTTGAATCGTTTCTACTTTTGAGCTATTATACATAATACATATCTTTGGGTGGATATATGTTTTCATTTTTCTTGATATTAGATACTTAGGAGTGGGCTTGGTGGGTCACATGGTAAATTTATATGTAACATTTTGGGAAAAAATGCCAAATTTATTTTTCAAACCAATCCTAACATTTTATATTCCCACCAGGAATGAATGAGCTGTCTCCTATCTTCACATCCTTGCCAAAACTTGTTATTGTCTGTCCTTTTTGTAGTTGTCTTAGTGGGTATGAAGTGATAGCACATTGTGTGATTAATTTGCATTTGCTTGATGACTAGTGATGTTAAACAACTTTCCATGTGGTTAATAGAATGGCACAGAACTGTAAAATTTTTTTGTGATGTTATTATTAGGTGCCATTGAGTTGTTACCGACTCATAGTGACCCTATGCACAACAGAACGAAACACTGCCCAGTTCTGGACTAACCTCATAATTGTTGCCACGCGTGAGCCCATTAATGCTGCCACTTTGCCATTCCATCTCACTGAGGGGATCTTCCTCTGTTTCTCTGACCCTCCACCTTACCAAACATGATATCCCTCTCCAGTGACTGGTCTCTTCTGACAATCTGTCCGAAGTGTGAGAGATGAAGTTTGATCATCCTAGCCTCCTAGGAGCACTCTGACTGTACTTCTTCCAACGCAGATCTGTTTGTTCTTTTGATAGCCCGTGATACTTTCAATATTCTCCTCCAATGCCATAACTCAAATGCATCAATTCTTCCATGATCTTCCTTATTCACCGTCCAACTTTTCGCAGGCATATGAGGTTATTGAAAATAACATGGCTTGGGTCAGGCACACCTTAATTCTCAAGCTGATATCTTTGCTCTTCAACACTTTAAAAACGTCTTGTGCAGCAGATTTGCCTAATGCAATACATCATTTGATTTCTTGGCTGCTGTTTCCATGAGTGTTGATGGTTGAGCCAAGATAAGTGAAGTTTTTGATAACTTCAATCATTTCTCTGTTAATAACAATGTTGTGTATTGGTCCAGTGGTGTGGATTTTTGTTTTCTTTACATTGAGATGCAATCCTATCAAAGGCTGTGTTCTTTAATCCTTTAAGTATTTTAAGTCCTTTAAGTTCTTTAAGTATTTTAAGTATTTTACTTTCAACAAGCAAGTTTGTATTGTCAGCATATCGCAGGTTGTTAATGAATCTTCCTCTAATCCTGATGCCATGTTTTTCTACTATTTGAGTTATGTATGTGTTCTCTAGACAAGCAAAACCAGTGAAACTTATATATATATGTAAGTTTATGTCAAGGAAATGGCTTACATGTGTAGAGGTAGGAAAGTCCCAAGTCTGAGTCAAGGGAACCACAATTGGCAGTTAGGTATGTAGCTCCAGCAGGCAGACAGGCAGGCTACTGATGGCTCCCAGGATCAGCAGGTAATAGAATAGGCTTCAAAGAATGGAAGGTCAGAGGATGAAGCAGATGCAAGATCCAGACCTAGTAGAAAAGCAAACAAGCTTTGCCTGTGTGTCTAATATTTTGGAAGCAGGTCACACCCCTGAGGAAACATCCTTTCACTTGTTTGACTGCTCATAGTAGAATTCATCATAAACTCTATTACAGTGCATTCGATCTCATTATGGGGATAACTACAATTCAACTACCAAACCACTGAGAATCCTGGGCCAATCTCACTACTGCTGCCACTTGGCCAATCCATCTCGTTGGGGGTCTTCCTCTTTTTCTCTGACCCTCCACCTTACCAAACGTGATATCCTTCTCCAGCAACTGTTCC